AAAAAAATAATATAAAAAAACACATGCTTACTAGGTACAACTATATTAAAAACGGACACCCCCACCCCACAAGACGGTAAAGGTAACTCACATTGGCAGTGTCTATGCTGTGTTAGTGGGATCATGATCCTTATGCAACCACCCACTATATACCAGCTCCTTCAAGGCATGGTGAGTTTTGCCGTGTGGCTCTGTGCCTGGCCCTTCACACGTGACGGCACATGAAATCTTACAAACTGATGGTCATTCCAGCGTTACCACTGGGGATTCTGAGGCTCAGAAGGGTTAAGTGATTTGCCGAAGGTCACTTAGCAGATAAAAAGAAGTTGAGATTAAAACCCAGCCTGGCTCCAAAGATAGGATTTTTTCTTCCACGCAGCAATCCTTCCACCCGGTCTGGACCCCACCCCACCAGACTTAAGTGACTTTTCAAAGTTTCAGGAGAAGGGCTATGATCTTGCCTCCCTGTTGATAAGAACATACTTCTCCCAGATTTCACAACCAGAGCAAAGAGTCGCAATGCACTCAGGCTCCCGTCGCGCCCCAGGGAGGGAGGAAGAGACCAGGAAGTCCTGGAGCAAGACTCCCTGATCTCGTCCCCTCATCCTCACCCTTAACCTCCTACAAGCGCCAGTGACTGGAATTGGGTGGGGGGGCTCCCGATCCCTTTCAGCAGCAGCCCCCCCCATCCCATAGCCGGGGCCAGACCCAGTAGCAAAACGGACCCCTGTGCCTGGGGGCTGCTCAACAGAGGAAACCCTGAAATGTCTGGGGCTGTGTGGCCCTAGATGGAGGGTGGGAGGTGCTGGCTGGGAGAGGCCCTGAGCAGAGAAAGAACTTGTTTTTGAAGAGAAAGAGGGAAGGTCAAGAGGGAGATGGAGAACTTAGAACTTGGTCTGTAGGTAGCTCCTTCAAGACCTGGGGCTGCCCTTAGGGCTGCCCTTGGACCAGTTCACAAAGCGAGGGAGGGGAGAGACTGGGAAAGCAGGGCCATCTGGTTCAGAGCAAGGATAACTGTGTTCAGCACCTTCCCAGAAGATCCTGTCCATCTGCAGCAGGGTGAAGGGTGGCCCTAAAAAGATATGTCCGTGTGTCAATGCTCGGAACCTGCGGATTATTGGGGAAAAACATGATGCAGAGAAAGGGTCTCTGCAAATGTAATTCACTTAAGGATGGGCCCCAAATCCAATGACAAGTCTCCTTTAAGAGAGAGCAGACCCAGACCCAGAGGAGAAGGCCCCGTGAAGAGGGCGCAGAGAGTGGAGTGACGATGGCCACCAGCCAAGGACAGCCCGGAGCCACCAGGAGCTGGGAGAGGCAGGAAGGATTCTTCCCTTGGCCCCTGGAAGCAGTAAGGCCTTGAGGACACCTTGACTCTGAACTTCTGAGCCCCAGAACTGTGAGAAAATAGATTTCTGCTGCTGTAAGCCACCAAGTGTGCGGTGATTTGTTACAGCGGCCACAGGAAACAAATACAGCATCATTCCAGGACATAAATCCAGCCCAGGCAGCTCTGCTCCCTTTCTGCCCCTGTTCCTCCCCTCCAGAACCGACACCCCCCCCCCGCCCGCCCGGCACCGCACCCCACTCTTCTGGCATTTTCTCCAAGTGGAACGCATTTCTCCCAACGTGAGTGAAACAGAGGCTAACTGAAATACCACTTTAGAAACGCCACACCCATTACTACCATCACTCTCCCTCCCTCTTGGCCCAGAAAGTAAGAGGCCTTGGGGAGCACCCATTTCTAGGAGAAGCCCGACCCTTATCTGAGGGAGCTGGGTCATCACTCCCGGGACGGAGGGGAGGGACTTCTCACACGCACACAGGCCACAGCAGCTGGAACTTTCACTGCACCGACCTCGGGCCCCAGGGGCTGTGCGGGCCCCCAGGGACGGGAGAGCAGGCCATATTTTGGTACAACCCACAGAAAGTCACGGTCTTTGTCTGCAAAGAAAGAGCGGGGCGGGAGGTTCCCGGGTTTTTAATTTTTTTTTCCATCTTGAAACCAGCAGCATTTCTGATATGATTGCGGGGGATTTCCGCCAACCAAATTAAAGAAAATTCAGCTTTAGCATTAGCTGCAAGGAGAGCGGAGTTTTGCAACCCTTGCCGTTTATGAAATACTGGCAGCGGCCAGGGGAGAATGTCTGCCTCCTTCCCGAACGACTCAGGCTCCTGCCATCCTTCTAGCCGGTGGTCAATTACCACACGCCTCCGCCAGCAGACCAGCGGGCACTACCCGGTCCCCCTGGAGCACTTCCCTCTGGATCTGCCCCGACAACAGCTTTGCTGGGAAACATGTCTGTCCCCTGGGGAGTGGCCGCAAGAGCTTTACTAAGGTCCCACGGTAAGGAAACATTTGGCGAGGCCCCACGCCCCATCACCAGACCCACAGAAGCAGCTGGCTTCTGGGAGGGAGGGAACTACTCTCTAAACAAAAATGGTTTTGAAAAATAAGCCAGTCAAAGGGGAATTGCTTCATGAGTTACACATTCACTTCTCCCTTTAACTGTGCAGTTGAAGAAAAAACAAGGTGAAGCAGGAACTGACCCCACAGTCACATCCCCACGAACCGCCCGGACACAGCAGCACTGGCAGCCCAGGCCAGCCGGGCCTGAGGTGGGTCGCTAAGTTTGTGTGGACTGTCTGTGTCTTGTGAGCCGCATACCCGCCACCCCAGGGGCTGGTACTCTCCCTGCCTTGTCAGCACCGTCCCTGTGAGGGGGATCCCAGCAAATACTTACGAGACACAGTAAAGAAAGAGAAGAGTCCTGCTGGAAGGGGACCGTGTGCATGGCCGAGGGCGCCTCGGGGGCACCTGCCCTAATTCCAGAAGCATCTATATTTGCAGAGTGGCCAGCACGGTTTCTGAACGTGGGCGGAGGAGGTGGGGCGAGTGGGACTCGGAAGAGGCAAGCCTGGTGGTCTTAGAAGCGGCAGCTGCCGACTCGTTTTCAAGAACACCGTTCCCCTCACTCTCCACCCCCGCACCCCAGAGTGTCCTCCATTACTTGTAGGATGTTGTCAAATGACCAAAGACCCAATCTCTGCATGCGCCAGGCAGTGCTCCAAGGAGGCAGGACGGACGGAATCCTGAAGTCAAGAAATCAAACCACAGCAGGGCGTGGAAGTGCTAAAGGGCTGGCAATTCTGTTCTAGAGAGCGGCAGAGAAAGTTCTGTTCCAATTCTCCTGCGTTTGGTGGCAGCCTTCTAAATCAGCAGATTCTTTATCCCCACTTGGGTCAGTCAAACCTGGTGGTTAAGGGCAGAAGAGGCTCTCGCGGGGTATTATCAAGGTGGTACCTTAGAGGCTGCATCTTTGAAAGGGCACCCACCTCCCCCCATCCCTACATCAAGAGAACTCTTAGGGATTATCTTCCTTAATCTCGGGGCCACAGAGCCGCCAGATGATCAGACACTTGGGCGGTGGAAGGCACTGGGGTTCTGGGTCAGCTACTTGTAAATTGTGTGGGTCTGCAAGCTTAACTTTTCTGGGCCTCAGTTTCCTCCACTGGAAAGTGGAGCCATCATTCAGGCCCTATGACTGTTTAACCGAAAACATATGTAAACTCGATCGATTCTTTGGGAGGGCTGGAGGGAGTCTCAAGGGCACCATTCACTTGACAGCAATCGGTCCCCGCTGCTGGGAGTGAGCAGTGGGATGAATCCTCGCTCCCCAAGTCCCCTGGGAGCAGGGACCTTTCTCTTCGAAGCCCCCCGCCCCCGGAAGGCACGCCTGCCCCACATGCACGCGCGACTAGGACATTTCTGAGGGTGGCGCGCGGCGGGGCTTTATGCAGGAGCCCAGGTGAAGAAGCCCCCCCCACTTGATAATCTTTTGGGGTTCGAGGCCCCAAGTCTCTCCTTCCAGGGGGCCTGATCGGCGTGAAAGCTGCTCAGTCATCTGAGAGCTTCCGAGCTCTCCATCCGCCAACTGCGCAGATCCCAAGGGCACCTCGGGGCGACCCGAGCCTCGGACGACCCCCAGCCTGGGCCGTCGTCCCAGGCGCCCCCACCGCAGCCCGGGAGATCGCAGCCCCACCCTCGCCCCCTCCGGGAGAGCACTGTTTGGGGGCTCACATCAGTCCCCTCCTTCCTCTCCCGACCCCAACTCCCCACCGGACCAGAGCACCACCGGCTCTGCGCCCTCACCCCCCTCAACCCCCGCGTCCCGGTCGCCACGAAGAGTCTGCCAGTTCCCCCCTCCTAGATTTCAAGGGAAGTGCAGAGAAGGAAGCCTAAATAAAAACAGGAAACCCGATTTTAAAAAAGAAGAAGCCTCTTTCTGACTGAATTACGGGTAAGAGTATTAAAAAGAAGGGTGGGGGGGGTGGGGGAAAGAGTCCGGAAATGCAAAGCTGGAGGCGGTTTTGCCGCCGTAACCCGGGCTCAGCCGCAGATCCGGGGGCTGGTCTCCGCCGGCGACTGCAGTAAACACGAGGCAAGCGGCGCCCTAGGCCCGGGGGCCCCCAGGCCCGCAGGGCGGGGCCGGAGGGGCGCGCCCGGCAGACTCGACTCCGGCTGCTCCCCCGTTGGGGCCCCGCTCGCCCGCGCCGGGGAGGGCGCGAAGGGCCAGGGCGCAGGGCAGGGTGCGCGCCCGTCTCCCCGCGCCCGGACGGGGGCACCGGGCCGCCCCGCTGGTGGGAGCGCGGCCGGGACGCCCCCTCGGCCTGCTCGCCAGCGCTCGGGGCAGGGCGCACGCGGCTGAGCGCTGCCCGGCTCCGCGCCCGCCGCTCCCAGGGACTCCCCGTCGGGCCCCGCTGGGCGCGCAGTAGCGGCGCAGGGAAGCTGTGCGCTCCCAGGTCCTGGCGGCCAGCCCCGGGGCGCAGCCCCTAGCCGGGCTCGCCAGACGCGGGAGGCGCGCCGTGCCGGGCGCACCGCTTGTGCGCGCCGGGAGACGCCAGCGAGCCCGTCCCCGAGGCCCCCCGAAGTCCCCGCAGCCCCTGGTCCCAGCGCTGTCCCCCCACCTCCCCAGACGCAGCCAGAGGCGAGCGCTTACCGGTCCCGGCGCGGCTGGCAGGCGCTGGGCGGCTCGGCCCGGCGGCCGCTGGGAGCCAGGGCGCTGGGCGCGAGTGAGCCTCGAGGGAGGGAGGCGGGGCGCGGTGGGGGCGCCCCGCCTGCTGACAGCCCGCACACTCCACTTCCCACTTTGTTTCCTTTTTACTTGCAACAGGAAAAACAACAGGTCCTCCGGCCGCCCGTCTGCCCCCCCAGCCCTCTCCACCCCCCAAATCCGCACCCCGTCTGCGGCCGTAGGAGCATCATCCCAGGTGTGTCTGGAAGCTGCATCTTGCCTTTCTTCAAAACAAGTTTTCTTTTTGTACGAAGGAAAACAACCAAATAAAGGTGCTAAAGCCCACGCCTTCGCATTCACACACCGAAGAATTTCCACGGTGACCAGTGAAAGGCTGGAGGGCGCGAGAGGGAGGCGGTAGCTGCAGATCTAGGCACCCCGGGAGTTTCCCCCCTCCAGCACCCCCTCCACCCAACCCCCCCAGCGCCGAGAGCGCAGTAACCGGCGCCGGGGAGGGTAATGAGACCTGGGAGACAGACTGAGCGCTAAGTTCCACGGGCTCAGCCCTGGAGGGAAAGCTGTGATCTCCGAGCTTGGGCAGTCAAGACCATGGAGGGGGTGTGGGAGTAGCCAGATTACAAAAGTGGTTTAGAAATCCTTCTAGGGTGTGATGGGGGAAGAGTCAGTCAATTGCTTACACGATGACTTTAAAGATCTAAGGCACCTGTTTGGTCCTCCTTGGAGAGATGCAGAAAGTGTTGCTTGGAAGAGAGGCTGTTTCTACCCAAGCACTGCGCTGGCCTCCCAGCTCCAGCGTGGACCCCGCTCTGGCTGCAGCAGAGGGAGGAGCAGAGCCCTGGGTTTCTAGCCAGAATAGGGAAAGAGGAATAGGTCACTGAAGGCTCCAGGGTTCTGAGATCTAGGCTGCAGGCTCTGGCCAGGTAGGAGGGACCATCGCATCCCCTTAGGGAAGAATGCTGTGTCTGTCCCCAGGAATGGACCCTGACATACACTTCTCAGCCAAACATCTGAGGCTCACAGCCTCACTCCCATACCCCAGGCCTGGCTTGCTGGCCCCTGGCAGAGGGAGATACTCCCAAGAGCCAGAAGAGAAATGGACATGTCAGAGAAAAAATCGGGTGGCAGGTTTAGCAGCCTGGGCTCTGAGGTTTCTGAACACCTGTCAGAGCCCTGCTTTTACTGGTCAGCAATTTAGAGTTTTACTCCATGGTTTTCAGAGGTCGGTGTAAGAAGCCATGGGATAGGGCGTGCTTTCATTCAGAAGAACTCTTCACTGAATATCTAATGACAGCCATTCACATCATGCTTGGTAACAGGCAAGTGGGGGAACCAAGGCTTGTCAGATGCTCAGCTGTGCTCCACACATCGTTATCTCTGATCCCTATGAGGGAAATCTTAGCCCCATTTTACAGATAAGAAAACCGAGGCTCAAGAAGGCTTAGTCACCTGGGCGCCACATAGTCACTGAGTGTCTGGCTGCGGCCTGACCAGGCCACGCTGCCTATGCCTCAGTCCGAGAAGCTTCATTTTCCTGGGGCGCCTGGGTGGCTCAGTCGGTTGAGCGTCCGACTTCGGCTCAGGTCAAGATCTCACAGTCTGTGGGTTCAAGCCCCCCACGTCACGCTCTGTGCTGACAGCTCAGAGCCCAGGGCCTACTTCAGATTTTGTGTCTCTCTCTGCCCCTCCCCTGCTTGTGCTCTCTCTCTCTCAAAAATAATTTTCTTTTAATTTAAAAAAATAAAAAATAGCGTGGGGGCGCTTGGGTGGCTTAGTCAGTTAAGCGTCCGACTTTCGCTTAGGTCATGATCTCGCGGTTTGTGGGTTCGAGCCCCGCGTTGGGCTCTGTGCTGACTGCCAGCTCAGAGCCTGGAGCCTATTTCAGAGTCTGTATCTCCCTCTCTCTGGCCCTCCCCTGCTCACGCTGTCTCTCTCTCTCTCTCTCCTAGAAATAAATAAAAATATTAGAAAAATAAAAAATAAAAAAAAACAAAAAATAATTTGAAAAAAGGAGCTTCGCATTCCTGAAAGCCCAGCACATTTCCCTTTAGACACTGTGCCCTCCCCGCGGTGCCTGCAGTGCCCGGAGATTCAGGCGGACTGTCACCCCAAGCACAGTCATCGCTAGATGGACTTGCCTCCTGCCTTCCTCTCTATGGTTTCTGATATCTCTTTTCTTATTTTATTTTTAACTATTGTCCCTGTGCGTTTGGAGGAAGCTACTTGAAGTTCCCTTTGAACCCGTAAACAAAAGAGACCTTCCACGGAGGAGGGTTGAGGGGAAAAGATGCCTCTTAGCTGCAAGGAAGTCTGCGCCTTATATCCCCTGTGATCCCCGGACGGGGAAGTGCTTCGGCCTGGTTTTGTGAAAGGGAAGAGAGGTCTCAGGTATTCAAGGGAGAACCGGCCAGCCCCAGGCAGGGGCAGGCAGGAGGTGCCCTGCAGGCCGGAGGAACACTCAGGGCCCTTCTCTTTGCCTCCTTTTCCTGCAGAACTTCCCCCTCCAAAGCCATCCGGCCTCCGCAGCATCTCACGGATGCAGTAAGCATCGGCATTCGACCTCAAGTGGCTTCACCACTGACACCCACTCACGCCCACAAGCAGGGTTATCTCAGGGCAGCCAGAGCCAAGCCGAGAACGCCGGGCGCAGGGGTGCAGGGATGGGGAGCCCACTTCCTCAGCCCCTCCTCCAAGGGCGCCAGGCGCTGCCTCCGCTTTGCCGCGGGTCCTTTCTGTCCAAGCAGGGCAGAGGTCCTCCAGAGCGCCTTCCCTGGAGTTTTGAAGCTTCTCAGAGTAGCCATCCTGGAGCCAAACTCTGCTGTGTGACCTCAGGCAAGTGAGTTACTCTTCTGTGCCTTCACTTCCTCATCTGGAACACAAGGATGCTGACCGCGCTTTCAGCACGTAGGACTGTTCTGAGAATTACGGGAGGCCATGCACGTAACTGCTTCCAACAGTACTGACGCAGTGACACCCCCCCCCCCACCGAAATCGTTACCGAGCTATCCGAGAACACAGTCTCTGTGCTTTGCTCAAACAGTATTTTCTGGTAGCGGCCGCAGGGTGTGACCTATTAACACATTCGTGTGCTGGAAGTCCGTTGGGTGGGTCAGGTTTACAGAAGTGGAATAGAATAGAAATGATCAGATTGTATTCCACTTCTTGAGGTGGATACCACTGCCTGCGCCTTTTGCCTTGTTTTTTTAGGTAAGTTTGAGCGGTCACGAAGTCAAGATGTAAAATGCATTTCTTTCTGCAGGCCCCTTGGACAAGGTCACGGTGGTGGTGATGGAAGGGCACTACGGACCGTGAGAGAATGAGCTCAAGGTTAGAACTGATTGCTGGAAAGTCTGACTGCTGAGGACTCGGGCTTGGAGGAGGAGAGAGGCGGCCAGGTGGAGGCGCGTGGGGTAAGGAAGGCAGGGGTCCTTGCAGCCTCCATCCCCAGGCTGCGCCCTCTGGATGATGACTCGGAGCTGGACTGAATGGTCCAGATTAGCTCAGAGGGGGCCCGGGTGAACCAGGTCTGGGGCCAGGGTTGAACTGATCGAGATTGAGGGTGTGGCCCCAACTGAATGGGGGGCACCAAACAGAAATCGAGTTACCCTTTTTTGTAAAATGCAAACACTCTAAACTCGGGATGCCTGGGCTCAAATCCCAGCCCAGCCACTTACCAGCGGTGGGTGGGAGGCTGGGAAGAGCACTCCAGGCCTCCTGCCCCTGGTACAAGGTCAGGATTCCAGAAACAGCCGTTGGCTTTACACCTTCCCTTCCAATGCACTTCTTAGTCCTGGGTGTGGAGGGATTGGGGAAAGGGGGTGGTGGGAAGCAGCAGGGCTTGGGGTCATGAGGCTGGATCCGACCTCTTACCTCCGTACACTGGGGGTGACCCAGGTTTTGTAACACTGACTCATTTGGCCTGCGTGCCCGCTGCAGTCTGGGCCCGGGATACAGCACTGTACAAGCCCTCCCGGGGCTTACACTCGGTGGGAAGAGAAACTATAATGAATAAAAATAAGATACAGTGTCTTAAAGTAGTAAAGTGCTGCACGAAGATATAGAAGGCAGGGGAGGAGGGGAGAGAGAGGTGGAGGAGAGACAGTGAGGTCTACAAAAATACCTGCCCAGTCCTCGAAACTGTCAAGGTCATCAAAGACCAGCAAAATTGGAGCAACGACCAGAGCCCAGAGGATCCTATGGACACATGACAATGTCCTGTGGTGGCCTGGCTGGGCCCCCGGAACAGAGGTAAAAGCTAAGGCAGTCCCGACGGAGTGAACAATAACATATCAATGGTGGCTCGTGAGTTGTGACAAGTGTACGTAGTCACGTAAGATACTAGCAAGAGAAGTAACTAGGTGTGGGGTATGTGAGAACTCTCTATCCTCTTAGCAACATCCCTATACTTGGGAAACTCTTCTAAAATTAAACATTTTTTAAAGAGAAAAATAGGGGCGCCTGGGTGGCTTAGTCGGTTAAGCGTCCGACTTTCGCTTAGGTCATGATCTCGCGGTTCGTGGGTTCGAGCCCCGCGTCGGGCTCTGTGCTGACTGCCAGCTCAGAGCCTGGAGCCTGTTTCAGTCTGTGACTCCCTCTCTCTCTGACCCTCCCCTGCTCCGCTGTCTCTCTCTCTCTCTCTCCTATAAATAAATAAAA